TAATGTTGCACATCAGACTTCAGATGACTTGTATGAAAGACCAATACGCAAAGATGAATGTGTTGTTGAAGATGGTGTGGATAATAATATTGCATATGAAGAGTATATAAGCGAGAAAAAAATCCTCAATGATGGCGAAAGTAAAGATGATATAACTGGTGCCAACAAGAACCAGCCAAATCATATAGTGTACGATGATGTTCCATCAGACGAGGTTAAAAGTAGACCTTTGACAGAACGAGATAAACCACTAGCAGACAGAAGATCTACCTTGTACACTAGCAGCTTTCAAACTTCTGACACAGATAAAGTATCCAGGATGTATAGTGGAAAAAAGGTAGAATGTAATGCATCTACAGATAATAAATCCATCGACTCTAGGACATATTCTGATATTAGAGAAGATAATGATGAGGCAAATATAGACCAAGTAAACAGTACGATGATGTACAGAAGACCAACTTTGAAGAAACAAGGCCATGTTCTCAGTTCAGACTCTCAAGAAACAGAGAACATGTATGAAAACAGCTGCAAAAACAAGGGAGAACAAGGACACGTCATGGCTGACACTCAAATTCGATGGAAATTACCGTCACTGAAAACAAAGCAAAACACTTCAGTTAGTCATACAGAGTTATCTATAAAAAGGAGATCGTCGTGGCATCCGCGGGATAGCAATGACACCCTTCAAAATACATCAAAGAAAGGCGTAAAATATATAAATGTTCCAAATCCACTACATGAGATGAATCAAAATATGGATACGTTGTCCAAAAACGACTCTACTCCTAAATATAATAGAGCGATGAAACCAAAAGGGACTAACAGCGACAAATTTGCTATGGAATGTACACGTGCACTTTCAGAAGCTTCTGAAACAGCAAAGTCACGGGAGTTAATAGACGACCAACACCAGCTGTACTCAGAGATTGACGATATTATGCTTCAGGGGAAAAAAGATCAACAACTAGATGAACCAAAGTTCTTGGGTAAAATGAAAGTGCTTGATCTCAGTGAAGCTAAAATGAAGCTTACTTCAGCGCACACTAGCCATGAGATAATGAATGCGCATTATAACACTAACAGCAGTGGAGTGAATATGCGTCATACAACACAAGTTCCAATAGCCGATAGAGGATGGTCACAGCATGAATATAATAGAGAAAGGTCCCTTTCGTTTTCTGAAAACATACAAAACAGAAGTGCCGGATTGGAAGCCCAAACTGAATCATATACAAATCACAGACATCGATTGTCATCATTGTACTCGCGCCCTCACAAAACAAATCCTGCTAAGTTTGAACCCGAGCAGTATTTAGAGCCAGAAGAACTTCGTTATTCGTGGAGCTTCAGTGATGACGACGAGTCTGACAAGAACCATGAATTTAATGATGAATTAGATAAAATGGTTTGTGATGACGTCCCTGGCGAAATACAATTTGCCACAAAGACAAAAAAGAAAAAGAAAAAAAAGGGGAAAAAACCATGGAGCGCATTGAGAAATCGCAACAAACCACGACAAAGCGATGAGAGTGAAAACCTTCCTAAGAGAACTCCGTTAGCTGCGGATGAGGTTAGCTCATACATCAAACAAATAGATGATAGTGACAGGACTAGAGAAAATGAATCATCAAGTATGGTCTGTCCCTCATCGCAAATTAACGAAACTGACGCCAATGAAGTGCAGTTGAATGTGGTTCAAGAACAGGCAAACCAGTTGTCGTATCTAAACGAACTCAGATTGAAGTGTACACAGGAAGAAGAATACACATTCTCAAATCCGGTTAAGCCTGGAACATTAGTCTAACAGTGTATGAATGTAAGACATTCTTCATGCATTTAATGTCGTACTATTCGTTGTCATCGCATGTAGATGAAAACGTAACATTATGTACATTTGTATAAATTTTGCTATAATTCTTTGAAATGTTGGACCACAAAGGTTTTCATTTTGTCCATTAGCTTGTTCAAAATGTTTTTAAAAATATAGAAAACAAGTATGTGGAATTGTATTCTTGAATGTGACAAAGTGTTACTTTTTACGTTCTAAGAATTAAAAATTACAATACGGACGACAAAATATAATTTTCAGTAATTGATGATTGGTACATATATTCATAAATACATTGTTTTACATACATTTATCACGAACTGAATGATGCGCTGTGCCACACGTCTGAGCATGTGCACTGGTATTTTGGTACGTACAATAAATATTACTCAGATTATGATAAGTCATATTCGGATTTGGTCTACAGTATAGATTATCGGCGACTACAATATCAAAATATATGTTTCGTTGCTTACCAGTAATTAGGGGGATTGATATAGGGATTGATATAGTATCCTGGATAACACGCTCGAGTTATTCGGCACATGTATGCGTTTATGCGTTTTAATATTTACACACTTTCGTCTAGTTATTCAGTATTTTGTCACCAATGAGACAGTGGCACTGTAAGGGTTTTTTTATATTTCAAAACCTTTCTATTTTTTGTTACACAGGACATAATAAAGCCGGATAATCAACAAATCGGTGTGCAAATTAAATCATTTGTTTTCAGTCCGTCACTCAACATTGTGTGTAAAAGTTCGAAGGAAGTATAGTTGGGTTCATGAAAATAAACCGACATCACTCTCCAAATGTATCGCGCATAGTAAATTTTGACCAAAGATTAGAAAGTTCACAATATATTATTCCGATTTTTTTTCCCTCTTGCTACCTTAATCGTATTTTGACGATCTAGGCGAAAGTTTCACAGACACATGTTCGGGTGTTCATATTGGCGTTCTTTTGTTCTCATACTTTTTGCTGATCGCCCTGGCTCTGTTTTAGTAGTGTTATAGGTTTACAGCACATTTTATACCAATTAGAAAATTATTGCAATAAGTGGAAATTATTATAAAAAACGAAATGGGTTAAGGTCCATGCAACCGAAAAAGTGGTTGTATAAAGGAGAAAGTTTACCGGTTGTGTCTCACTGCAATTATCATGAAATTATTTATTTACTTAATTATTTTTTATTGTACATCAAGTCCTTCGGACTCCATTTTCGACTACATTTTCTAAAGCAAGGGGATTTGACAAGCCAAAAAATGTAGAGATTATATAACACAAGTGTTGTAATGCAATAAACGGGTGAGCTAGGTTAACCGAGATTAAAGTTACGTGGGCTTGGTAAAATTGCCAAATATTGGGTACGTACTCTTTAAATTATTAAAGATCGCTACGTTCTCGAGTGTTACACTGTTTAACTTCACCAAGCGAACAATAATAAAATTAATCATGATGTTATTTTCTTAAAACAGAAATTGTGGCACTCAATCATGGCAAGCTCCCAGACCCCCCCCCCTCGTGTAGCTGAATGCATACAGATATTTGATTGCGTTTTATCACGCACCTCATTTCAGCAGTTTTAGCCTGACGAAGAAGCCTGACCCGGTGCCAACCTGTGTGCAACCCTACGTCACGTGGCTTCCCAGTTCGCATTATAACACTGAAACGAGGTGCACACGAATATGCACACTGCTTGAGTATAGGTTTATGTCAACACCATTCGCTTTCAACAAATACACTGTACATAATATGTAGATATACTGTCAAAACACACAAAATACGTAAAAAAATATATAACACAGTAGTGGAGTCCCATGGCAAAGACCACGACTATCAAATTCTTCAGATAGACGAACTTGGAAACCCCATAATTGATGTGTATGACAAGGACTACACCCAGTAAGTTATATAATGTTTTATTTTACAGCAGTTGTTTCAAATAATGCCGGTAAATCACGACCCTAACTGAAACTAAAGAGCAGTGTCATCATTGTCAAACACCGCAGATTTATTTTCAGAAAAAAATAATCAATCCCGAGACAAATACTGACAATTCTTCAACTTCATTGTGATGTTTAGCTTATTGGACCCCTGACTCTGTGTCACAGTCCATCGTTAATAAACCCTTAAATACACGGCAACCTTCTAAATGTTGGTGACACGCCGATTTGCTACTCATGACGAGAAACATGTTATAATTATTGGTTTCAAATTACTGAGATCCATTTTTTTAAAGATTATTATTGATGACATTTTAACAGAAAAAAAAGATATAATTTACATATAAATATTAAACTTGTTATGTTGATTGTTTTAGACGCTGTTCAATATTCAGTATAAAGAAAGAGTAGTTATACATATAACGTTCATCCATGGGCATATGTATTTGCGTACCTCATTAGGTACATGAAGCATATGCAAAAATAAACTCATCAAAACAGTGAATATTGACAAGTTTGAGGGTCAACAAAATAATAATATTAGAGACAATATGCTCTAAAAACGTGTACGTCATCCTTGTGTGTCAAAGTTATATTTTTCTTGTATTCAATTTTGTTGATGAGTAATGAAGAATCTTCGTGAATCCAAATACGCCGACGGGATTAAGATTCTAATGAACACATCACAAAAAAACAGTAAAAAGGTTCGAAACAAATTGAAATATTAAATGTAAATTTGTTCTTTTATTCATTCAATACTAACCCATGCCACTGAGATGCAGAAAATGAAAACAAAATGTGTGATCACCAGACAACTTTTAGAAAAAACAAGAATCCGAATTTTCGTGAAAAATGGCAAGGAACATGTTATTGTCGGTTTGCATTGGTCTCTAGGCTGTAATAATGGCACCACGCATGGAACTATTACTCGGACTAATGATCTAAAAAATCATATATATATATTTATTATTATTATAATATATTTATTATTTTCGCTAATTACGTTCAGGTCAATCAGCGTATGTGCAATTTGCTCGGTAATATGCACAATAGACGCAAACTAGAATTAGACGTAGTGCGTGTGTGGTCGTTTTTTTAATTAGATAGTAGGTCACGCGGGGAGAACTCTCGCGATCGGTACATAGCAACACGGTGGGATGTACAGCACAGATGTCCAATTGATGGTTGTTCATGCTTGCTTTCAATAATGAACTCTGGGAATGTTATACGTCTTCGTCCATCCACGTAAAAGTTCGATTGAACATCATCGAAAGCTGGTTATCATACGCTCTGTAAAAATCACGTAGTCGTTTCACAATTTTGTCAGAGACGTCCGGGTGACGTAATCCCTTCTGGCGCTTGTCCAGACAACGTTTAATAGGAAAGGCGCTGCAGTACAAGTTAGTTTTGGGGTGAAGAAAGAAATGTTCTTTTTTAAAATATCGCGGTAGCTGAAGAAAACGTTCCAGATTCTTCAATTCTTTGACCGGGTCTGTCTTGAATACACCGCCATCTACTAAATATATTTGAGACAGAGGAAAGTATCTAACCCATCGAGCTAAGTGGTATGCATACATACCGATCTTTATGAGGTCATTGTTGGTATCAATATTTTCAAAACGATCGTATTCCAGGACGGATTCCTCAAACGTGTCTTTAATCCTGTAGTGCATCATGGGAACAAACTTTTTGTATGTTTCGCGTTTATGTTCCATCACATAGTCTGAAACGGCTCTGCGAATTGGATCGCAAATAATAGCTACGATTTTGGTATCCTTCCCGACTTCATTGTAGATTTTCGCCGGGGCATCGTCGGGGAAATTTAAATATTGCGGCGTCTTTTCCACCAACGTGTCTCCGGGTCTAGAAAACGGAAACAGGTTTCTGTAGAAATCAATCCCTCGTTGATAGTGCCTATCGAAGAAATGGGTTTCTCCGGAACCGGAAACAAACACGTCGTCGACGTACTCCGGCGCGCGACCGTAAACTATCGACGGATGAAGTACTAAGAAATCTCTCAGCGCATCGCTCGCACATTTTTTGGCCCCGATCATGATTACGTTAGGGAGTCGATTCTGACAGTCAGGTTGGTCTGATCGTTTCATGTCCGAGGAAAGAATAAAGTCTTTCACCCAAGTATAATATACGCTTGGTTTGTAACATGAATTTCCAAATTTAGCCTCTAGATAAGCTGTAGGGTTGTCGGACACACGCTTGGGAAAATGTTCCATTGCCTCGTCATCGTCCAACAGCGATGCTGCCCTATCCTCTTCACCTATCTCACGTATATGGTATCGTCCGTCGAAGTAGGCAGATAAAATATAAGCACCAAGCACTAGTGTGCTAACAAAGAAAAAACGGTGATTTGTATACTTGGCAAAATATAGACGCATTGCGTATATAAGGGTGTCGCCTCGCCGAAACCGCTTCTTGTATCACTCTCGATCTTTCTATCAAACCAACCACGTCTCTGCAATGAACAACATCAACAATATTACAAGGGGAATGTGTATGCGACAATTTTGTATATTTCAGCATTTTAGATAACTGTGCATCTTGATAAAATTGTTAGGGTATGCTTTTTCATAAATAAAACCCTTATTTTTTCAGCGATTACTTGATTACTGAAAAACCTCTAGTGTGCATTCATACCGGATTTATTTCTGTGTACAGATAATTAAAATCTGTTTTCATAATTCCATCGAATGAACACTACTTGCAGCCAAAAGGTTATTTTTATTGTACGATAAATCACACCCTAATATTTAATTTTTTTTGTCCGTTTTTTTTTTCCAATATCAAACGAAACATTCACGGCTATATTCAACGGTAGCCACATCGCCCATTTAAGGCGGGGTAGTTGTCACCTGCGCATGCGTCAGATGGCCTCAAACGAATATGACGTGTTTAATCAGAATGATGACATATATGTTCGTTCATCCACACAAAATATACAATGTATATAAATAATTATTATAATGATGAGAAATAAGATTTTACCACTATATTGTCATCATATACGCACTATAAATGGGAATGAAATATTACAATATACTGGCGCAAAATTCAGGGAGGAAAAACAAGACAGACAAAAGCAGAGAGAGGTAATATTCTCCCAACTTTGAAAATAATTGGCAAATGTACATGGTTTGTGTTTCCAGCAGTGAACGATTTCAAGTTGAGATGACAATACACAAACAAACTGATCCTACCACATATTGCCTTTAGTTCCACGACATCTGCAACTTGTTTAAAAATTATGCGATTATTCTAGATCTGTGTAGACTGGTTTTGTTCCTATTACGCAGAGTCTACCCGTAATAACGTTATACGTTTCGCTACAATGACGCGTGTCAGATATCCGGTGAGTTTCTGTAGCATAATCCACTGACAACCTGCCACTCCGATGTAATTCATTAAGCCCCCGCAGTTGTGAACACCACATTGACAACCACATTTTGTTTTCATTTTTCAATCCCGCTGTTTCTTTGTAGCTGATTCGGGCGATATTAATTAAACGGTTTGTATTGACATATACTAGTATGTTATTGTATATACTAAATGTTATTCAGATGTGTAGATTTTTGTTCAAAACCAACTCTTCGTTACATAAGTTGAACACGGTTAAATTAAACATATCATATACACCGATGTATAATGTTGGTGGATATTTGTATTATCCGACAACTGCTGTATATACAACGTGGTACATTTCTGTAGGTGGGGGATGGGCATCGGGCGAGCGTCCTGCTGAAACCGTCGTTGCCCATACACGTATATCCAGCGGGAGCAGGAAAAATTGTATTTTTATAAAATGCAACATATATTTTTCATCTATCCTCCTCCATTATAATGAGTTGTTCTACTTGTCAATGACCTTCGCAACCTAATTACAGAATGGAATCTCCCGCTTATTAACACTAGTAACCTTCATTAATTATGCAATGCAACAATGCCGTCATTGACGATAAATTAAAATAAATAATAAAAAAGAGGGTTTGTATATTCAAACCAAAGCTATTCAAGCTATACTTAATTTCGAGCCTGATTCCAAGTGCTTTTTGGCAGTCATTTGTAACTTTTTATCGGTTATAAATAGAGTTACCGCACGGGGTAGAGAAGGAAAGAATCTCCGAACGCCGTGCAGGCGGACGACGACCTGAAACACCGTATTTGCATCAGTGTTGAATGTATCGGCATGCTGTCCATAGTTTTTGTAGGTAAACGAGTTACAAGTGGCTTAATAGAGGCCTATACAACCACAAATTCCACAATACATGTACGTACATCTACATACTTCTTAAAAGCACGGCTACAGTGGCGGGGGCAGAGGGGAGGTCGCCCCTCCAAAAAAAATCAAGATCAAGCTAAAATCTTTTGTATCAACAAACTTTGCCTCTCAAAATTCAGGAAATAGCGTTTCAGAGAGTCTATATTTCATTTTTTTAAGGGGGAGCATGCTCCCGGAACCCCTAGTAAGGTCGCGCCTTTGGCAAGGTTGGTGAGCAGATCTCCCCCTCCCCCTTCCCCTAACAGTCAGAATCGCGGTTATATATTCAGCACTGTCGACTGGTTACTAGTACCAAAATCCACTATACCGCGCATCACGGTCACATGACTAGAAAAATGGTACCCGAACTTAAAGCGGGGGAGTCGTCACCTGCGCATGCGTCAGATGGCCATAGCGTGTCATTATTTACGAATATGCGTCTACCCATGTGCCTTTCGTTTTTAGCGTGAGTTGTTATCGTCGCTTGGGACTCAATTCCCGTGCGTGTGCAGGTGACGACCCTCGCACTTTAAGCAAGCGTAAAACAATTTAATTTGGATTTTATTCACATATAAAACGAGAGTATGCACTATGAGATGTAAATCGGTCACACTAAATATCATGACATATTTTGTGGGAAAAAGCAGCGATACGGCGATATGGTGAATTCTGCTATGTGATTAGTGGAAACAACTCAGTCGTGTTAAATTAGCATGGATAATAAACATCAGAGAAAAGTGGACGCGATGACGAGAGAAATCAGTGAGAAATGAACCACTATTTGAGTGACAAAAACAAGTAGCGTCTCGCTCTCGCTGTCATCGAGATTTCGACGGCCATTTTATATTTATTGTACGTGTATTATACAGAATGTGGTATCGATGCCGCTTCTTGTTCTATAATATCAGTGACGCCGTACACGCCGTACAATACATTAGATTTTAATCAGATTGTTCCAAACAGTATTCGTTCATCCGTTTCTGTATGTGTTCTCAACAATGTCCGTTTAATAGGAAAGTACTCTAGATCTGTTTAGTAGTTTCTTTGTTCTCAACACGATTCAAGTTGAGAACACATCTTTCTCCTCACTATTTGAATAAGGGACATATAGTTCACTATGATATGTATATGAATCAGACGCGTACGCTGACAACGCACCCACGACAGGGCTTCACTCAAGAAAAAATAAATCCCAAAATTATTCATTAAAATACGGTAACTCAGACAATAACTGTAGGTAACTGTTGGTTTTTAGGGCCAAAAAAAGATCTAGCACGGGCGCCAGTGGCACATGCACAGTCCTTCGCTCACCAAAGGTAGGACTTAAATGCAATGCAATGTGTAGTGTAGTAATTCAGCTATGCTATATACGGGGGCCCATATTCGAACACGGCGACCGCTGTATTCAATATACCGGTACACCTCCTATCCATACCTTCCACCCCTACAATTATTGGTTCGACCCATTAATTTTAGATTAGATTTGGAACGTCATTCATCTCATATTATCATTATATTCTCTAGATAGTTATCAAGAAAACCATTATGTGAATTTAAATTAAGTCACGTGATTGGTCAGAAAAATATCTTTCATCGGTTGTTTTAATGGCCCATCAATTGTTTGAATTAAATACCAAATTTAAGTTAAATGTGGTAAACGAAATCGTCACTGAATGAATGCAAGACGGAATTGACGTTGATTTCATCATCTTACCACTTGTAATCGTTACCATGGCAATGTCAGTTAATCGTAATCAATCGCTCGTGATGATAAAACGTGAAAAATTACTCTGATCACGCAGGGTGTCGGCAATGAATGCACGTATCGTGAAACGTAAATATAATAATAACGCTCATTAAATTTGCATGTGTGTAATTAAAAACGGCAATTTCAGAAGTGTTTGGCCAAAATCATATGAAATTATAACAAATTCGAGAAAAATGGCCGAAACAAAGACAAGTTAATCGCGATGAAGGAAAGTAGCACAAATGAGGTCGTATCATTAGTTGACAAGCGGTTTTTCAACTTTACTACTATACTACATTTGTCTCCATAGTGCAATGTTCTAGTACTTAACGTTTTAGTTTAATAGCGTTGTTGTCCCACCCACAGTGAGCTTTTCAAATCATTATGTGCACATCAACGCGTCGATGACGTATGCACTTCACGTTCAAGCCAATAAGTAGCTCCCAGAAATTACGACAGCGCAACCAATCAAAACACGGCTAGCCGCGGCCGCGGAAAAGGCGTGCATTGTCTCATTTGCAAGACTCGCAGTTTTACTATCCTAGGTGACAAAGGTGATACACTATACGTCGGCTGTGTGTTTCTTGATATCGCTAGCTGGATTATATTTAATTGCAAGGTCAGTATTGAAATGCATCCTTTTTTTAATTTTAAAAATGAGTATTGTACTGAAAGACAGCAAGCATTCTCGGTTGTCGAAAAAGCTAACTACACAATAGAGTACGCATCTTTAGAAATCGTGTGTTCACGTTCAAAATCAAAAACATATTTTAATTTATTATGCTATATCCAGTTGCAGAGCTTTTTAAAAAAATAAGTTAAAACGTGCTTATTCTATCATAACCTTGCATAGTTTTATCACTCCAACTCGCAATTATATTGCAATATTTATTTGTTTTTAATATAATATTACTAGTTTAACGTTTGGGTTATTTCTATATAATATTATTTTGCTTCTAGCGTTGGCGGCGAAACGCATGATACTCAAGTTTAGTATATGTATAACTGTATTATAGGTGTCGTATTCATAATTGCATATATCACCATTTTCTAGTCATTTTAATAGGATTTACTAGCAATTCCAGTGTGCGATCTCTAATATCGGCCAGTTAGATAATTGATTGTCGGTATGTGGTTGTATCAAATGACTAATAAACTCATTATTTTTTGTGTTAACGTAAGTAATACATCAAGAGCAAATTACTTCAATTATTTTTTTCGTTTTCAAATACGAATAAACGAATCTGATTGTATTCATATACATACAATAGCTGCCCGTTATCATCTACTCGTACTTAAACCACGTGATGTCAGTAGATTCATTTCCCTATTCATACTCGTTGCCTATCTTGGGAATTCACTAGTTCGATGTGAATACTGCTGGATTGTGGGATACAGATCATGCTTTGAACGCTGTTCATATTACCTACTCCCGTCTGAGCATCGACGAGGCCGGAAGGCGAATTTAGATAGTAGTAATATCCAAACCAAGTACATATTAAATTTACGTAATATCAACGTATCGCGGTTATCTTGACATTATCGCCTTAATTTATAGAATTCTGATAGATAATTCCAATCGTAGTACATTTCCCGAGGGTGTAATTTGGTGTAAGATAATTAAACGTCAATGCGTGAATGTGTTTATAAACTGCTGAAGTTTCTGAAATTAACATATCCACGTGAGCGTGTAACGCGTCGACTTTGTTTTGTAAATATTGATATTTGTCAAACTAACACCTGCTGATTTTTTTTTAAATATGCTCAAATGCATTATGCATGTCCGTTTTTAAGTAGACACTTAGCGAGTTTGAAATATACAAGACGTGACTATACTTATATACGCTGTTCCATTTCATTAGGAAATTTGGGAGATAGCCGCAAACAATTTATTTTAATTAAAATAAATATAATAATGCACTGTGTAGGCGGTGTGATTTAGGATGACCTGATTTGTTTTTTTTAGAGTTTATTGCTCATGCATCAACTTTTTCTAATAGTACTAATTGATTTTTCAAAACCTATCTCGACACTACCCTGTAGGTTTCGTAGGTAGACTCAACTATGAAAGCGGTCAACTGCTTTGCAAATACTGTATGTTCTGGGTGTGCTTTATATACTAAAATGTCAAGTTGACGCCACTGCTCTAATCCTCGGCGGACAGTACGCAATTTTGAGTGACTGATTCAATGAACAGACACGTGGGAACGCGGTGGGGAATAACATTGGATCGATCTATGTCGTTACCTGATATTTTCGTCTGAGACAACTTGACCATGACAGCGACCACTCACTGAACCCAAATAAAGCATGCTGGGAGGTGCTGTAAATATATACTCTATTGCAATATTGAATGTTACTGATTTTTCTTAAAATAAAAATAAAAGAATAAAAAGAATAGAATAAAAACAAAACTTCATATGTGAGTAACAAACTTAGATTCGGATCACATTCTTTGATACTGATTATAGAATAGAATTATATTATATAATTATTTCTTTCAATTTTGTGACATCATCATGATGAATGGAAACGAATACGGTAACGCGAGATTCATTTTTTTTTGCCGGTTGTATTATACATTATTATGACACAGTCACTCTTGACATCGCCCTGGAATTTGTGCGTAGTTATTTTTCACGAGTGATGCGATGTATTATACGGTCGTCGCGGTATTCATGCGCGAAGAGAAAATAACTGCCATACCCCCACGCACTTCAGGGCGAGGTCAAAACGTTTTGTTATTATTACATTATGTTTTTTAGACTTCCAGACAGTTCGAATATAGCGCCTCCATCTCCATCTAGATTATAATGTACTAAATATGATACACACACCGATTAAAGCTAATGCATTGTGGGTAACGAGGTTTTTTAGGAGAACAATTTAAATACGAATGCAATACGAAATATGTGTGGTTTTATACAAATTAGAATAATTGATGTTTTGACGGTTACGTTATCCTGGGGATTTTCCTTTTTTCAGAAAGTAATTTTTCATTTCAAGCTATGTCTGTTTATCATCGCGCCGAAGGTCATTCCGGTAGCTATTTCCTATTGCACTAATCGTGATCGTAAATTAATTATATTTACATGATTATTCTTTCGACAGTTATGACAATGTTATATTTACGAGTTTTAATTTTATCGGTAATCTCGTGAAAGTTCTCACGAGATATACTTATCTTCAAATGTGTGCATTTTGTACTGAAAGCCGAGTTGCAAAAATAATTCATGTATGTCACCATTCACGTTAAAATTAACTATTTTAAAAATTACAATGGAAATCCTAGTTACAAATAGTCTAAATCATAATAGACACCGCTGTTCCATGATTTCACTTTGTAATTGGCAGCTCCCTTTGAACGCTGTGATTATATAAATTATACAGAGACGCCAATATAATTAAATTTAGACTGTGAACTACAGACCGCGCTCTGGTGGGGAGATATATACAGTGCTTGTCGTTACCGTATTTAATCCAGGGTTAACGTCACGTATCGAGGTCATAATTAATCCTCACAATGCTTATGGCGTTTTTTTTTTTTTTTTAAATAAAAGAGGTTTTTGTAATTGATGACGAATCCAAAGTCGCCATTTTCAAGTCTATGATCCCTTGGGTAGCATAGATTAGTCACTTACAATGAAAGTGAGAGATCAGAGCAGTAGCAGTACTTATATGCCATATCACTGAGGTCATTTCATGTACAGATGACTCGTACATAATCCTCCACGCTTGGCTGAACCATTGATCGAAATATGCATCGTTTGAAATCTCATTTACTCCCAATGGGCGTCCCCAAGCTAACGCGATCTCTCTTTATAGTTTATTTTCAAAATCATTAATATCGAAACTATTGAACATATTTGCATAATTGGTCGATTGACCTCAAACTACTACAACATTCAACTGCTCCTAAAAATAATAATACCTTTTAAAAACGGCTGTGTTTTTGTTTTGATTCCAGTTTTCAAACCGTAAATCGTGTCATATTTTACTATTTGCATTTTCCATCCTTTGTTTGTATACAATTTACGTAACCATAGCAACATGCCACAATTAATATTCAGTCTTTGGTTGAAAGAATATTATTCGAGGATACTGAATGTAAGTTTACGATCAACGCGACCCTACCAAACGCAGTGACGTCATACTGGTGTCGTAAACACCTGTCCTTAGCGTGTAGTGATCGATAAAATTTAAAGATGAAGTTACAACGTAGTATGTATAAAGTATGCAGCTGTGTGCATACGCGACAAAGAGGGCCGTTTTGCGCTTCATTGATTAATTAAATGTGCTTTTCTGATTGCAACTACGTTTAAATGAACAGCCATCGATCGTTCTGATCCGATCAGATTGATTGAAACGCAGTAATTCTGTGTCTCTGACTGAAAATCATCATAATACCGCGGGTGTATAAAAGTCATATAAAAATGTAACCGTTCGATTGAATTTTAGTTTTCATTCATCTTCAATGTCAGAATTGTAATTGGTTGACCTCTCTTACATTTTTTAAAAGGACTGTTTTCAGCTATTTCAATTGAATATGTCACGTGGTTTTAGGCTTCTTTCACAGACGGATACATTTCGCTTTGTTCGTTTCGATTCGTGACTTTTTATCTGGTCCAACTTGGTGAAGTATATAGCATTCAATTCAGCGTACTCTCTCATCCACCGCGGGGGAGGATAATCTCTTCGACAACTTTATCAAATAAAATGGATTCATTTTATAATGATTCATTCATAGTGTTTTCGATTGCAATGGGTCTATGTCATTTAGATACGGAAAATGCACACAAAAAAACAGCAAAGAAAAATTGGTCTAAATTATTATATCAGTTTAATGAATTCGAGATTTATCTTATCTTGTTTGTTCGGCAACATTGGATAAACTAGTCTTATATAATTGTATCATACATTTGTTACAGTTTAAAAAAAAAAAAAAAATGAAATTTAATTTAGTGATTTTGTAATGACATTTGTTCTTGGTGATCTCTGTCCCAAATTACACTGCGGTCACATGCTCAGTAATATGCTAAGTAGATATAAAACATGCAGTCTCGTTTGAACTATGCAATCCATATGGTTTTTACTTCCTTTACGTTAATTAGAACAGTATGCAATCAAAATTGTATATAGTTTACGTCTATCCCCGTATGTGCGAAGACTCATAAATAATGCCACAATCAATATAGTGTGCTCGATTTCCAGTGACGTCACCAGTATGGTGCATCGTAGATTTCTGTTAATATTAACGAGGCAGGCGACACTCTGGGTGTTTTTTGTAAGTGCGAACACGTCGTGTTTTGTACAGTTTTCTTCACATATGAATCAGTATTGAGAAAATATGTAAGTGTTTCCCTGATATACGCAGTAACTATGGGTTTTTGTATTTACATGACAGTGTATCTCGATGGGTTTAGAATTTGCCGTATTTCTTGGTACCAACCGATCAACTATCTGCATCCTATTATACTGGTACCTTATCAGAAAATGAAAACTCTAAATAATGAAAGATGACGCGATATTACCAAGATGCAACACTTTGCCTAGTTATTGTGTAAAA